TTACCTAGGAGGACACTGTCCATCTCCTCTTTTCCCAAGTGTAAGCTGAAGTGGACGATGTGGGCTCCCAGGTCACCCCCAGCCCCTGGGCCAGAGCATCTATGGTCAGGGAGCAAGGCCCGCCCCGGCTGCCCATGGGGATGTGGGCGCCCGTGGCTCTGCTCRCCCAGGCAGCCTGCGTGGCTCCCAGGCTCAGCCGCCATCGTAACTCAGGGCCAGCCGCACCCTGTCCTGCCCCCGCGTCGTCTGGGCCCCTCCTCAGAGACCCACGTTGGCAACAAGTGCCCTTTCAGGCARCAGTTGTGACACACAGACAGGAATGCGACTCCACCAGGCCGAGTGGGAGTGCGGGGACACGCCCGGCTCCACTGTGGCAGGTGTGCTGGAAAGCCCTGTCCCAGTGACCAGAGTGGCCRGCTGGCCTGCGCCCCCAGGGAGCACACGCACGCCAGGCGAGAGCTGCCCTGCTCCCTGTCCACGCTCCCTGCCCTCGGAGACTGGGCTCTGGGAGACGAAGACAGAGGGACACAAACATGGCCAGGAGGCCTGGGGGCGGGGGCTAATCCTGTGGGCTTAGCTCCAGCCCAGAGTCAACAGGCAGGGGAGCAGGGGCCCTGGCGTCTTGTGACTTCTGAGGCTGCCGCTGCTCGGCAACCCAGCCTTCACGTGCAGCGTCTCCTTGAACCAGCAGCCGCGGGAGACAAAGGTTAACGGCAGCTTGTCACGGGATGGGGTTCTCCACACCATCCCCTGAGCCAGCCTGCCCCGAGGCCGGGTGGGAGAGGGCTCTCAGGGTGATGGCCATCCTCCTCCCAGCCTTCCTGGGCAGAGYACCAGGGCCTGCAGATTGCTGTCCTGTCCCCCTGGGGATGCCCAGCCTCAGTCCCTAGCCAGCTCCTGGTCTGCCCTCCCAAACCCACGACAGTGACAGCACAGCTGGGCTTCACGCCCACCTGCTACTTCTGTGTGTCCCAGTGATGTCCAAGGGACCAAGGGACAGGATGGGGTCCCTGCAGCCCTCAGGCCACTGCAGTTCAGAGATGCTGAGGCCCAGTGTTTCCACGCTGTCCAGTGCCTCCCAGGCAATCATCCTGACCTGCTGGCAGAGGCTGGGGGCCAGGGCCCAGTGGGCTGTGGCCCTGTGGCAGGCCCCAGTGGGACCCCCATGGCTTGGTCCATCCCTGCCACCTGTTTTGGGGAGGGCAGAGGAAAGGTYTGCGGAGTCCTGGGGACATCCTGGGGACTCTGGTGCCCACAGGGCCCCCCTGGCCGACTGCACGTCACAGTGGCCGAGGAGCTGAGCCTGGTGTCCTGCAGCATCCACTCCCGCGTTCACTCAGCGTTTCTGAAAAGGTGGGGCCTCTGCAGCTGGTCCCCACCAGCCACCCACCCAGGGGAGTCACCTTTCCCCCCGATGGAGCAGGCAGGGATACAGGAGCAGAGGCCCCACACCCCTTCCTCTGGCTCCGGGCACCYGTGGCCCACTGGAGCCATCCAGGTGGGCCTGCCACACAGCTGCCCCGAAGGCCTGGCAGGTCCAGGTGCCTGACTCCACTGGGACCCACCACAGGGTCCAGCGATGTCCAGAGACCACCCCTGTGGAGGACTCGACCAGCTGGCCTGGTCACTGCTCCGCCTGCTAACCACAAACAGGGCAGGAGGACAGTCTGAGGGGACGCTGTCTGCAGATGCAGAAGATGGATGGCTGGATGGCCACTTCCTCTACCAGGAGGCTGGAGGGCGTGACCGTCCACAAATCAGAGCAAAGCCAGAGGCCCAAAGCCCGGGTGTGAGGCAGCCCACCTGGCCCAGTCCAGCCCGGCCACCGTGGTGCCCACCACCATCCCTGCCCCGCCCACGCTGCCTCCGCAGACTGCACCCTCCCCCGACAGGGTCAGGGGGAGCCTGACGCTCTGTTCAGTGAAATGTGGGCAAAAATGCCATCACCGTCCCCCCAACCTGCAGGCACAGACACTGTGGATCCAGAGACGCAGCTGCCCTGGAGGCCACCCAGCCCACAGGACACTTCATGTGAGCTTGATAGAAACCTGCTGTCGGGGACAGTTGGGCCATCTGGACATGCCCGAGGGTGGCCAAAAGGAGCTCCACAGGTGGCCGGGGCTCGGCAGCCTTGGGYGGCACCCCAGAACCTGATGGGGGGCCCCGCCTGCTCGCCCTGCACGGGGCTTTCTGCCAGAGCCATTTCCGGGGACTCCRCAGGCAACGCGGCATTAGCGTGTTTGCGATGCACACACAGGATCTGGGGCTCACTGCACTGAGAGCAGCCAAGTCCGGCTTTGGCAGGACCTTCTGGAGGGTGTGGGTGAAGAGAAAGCCCAGGGACCACAGGCCARGGCTGTGCCATGGGGACTCTGGGGGCAGGGACTGTCCCCATTCTGGCCTTCCCTTGTGGGCCTCACACCACACCCGGGGAAAGCTGGGCCCGGGCCCTCCTGGCTGGMCCTCAGGGCCGGGCCTCACCTCCTCCTATCCCCACACAGCCCTGCCTCCCCGTCTCTCCATCTCTGTCGTCTCCCTCGGTCTCTGTCTGTCTCTTATCTGCTTTTGTCTTTCTGGGTCTGTTACTGGGTGTCTATGTTTCTCTTTGTCTCTGTACCTGTCTCCATTTCTTTATTTGTCTCTGTCGCTGTCTGTCTCTCTGTGCTCTCTGTATCTCTGTGTGTCTCTGTTCCTGTCTCTACATCTCTGTATGTATTTCTCTGTCTCTGTGTCTCTATCGCTCTGTGTCTATTTCTATATCTGTATCTCTCTGTCACTGCTTCTGTCTCTACCTCTATCCCTCTGTATCTCTGTCTTTCTGCCTCCGTCTCTCTATCTCTGCTTGTCTCTACCTCTGTCTCTGTCTGCCTCTGTCTCTATATCTCTACCTCTCAGTGTCTCTGTCTCTGCCTCTGTAACTCTGTCTCTGACTCTGTCTGTGCCTCCTATGTCTGTGTCTCTACCTCTCTGCCCCTCTGTCTCCACCTCCCTGTCTCT